ACACACACACACACGATAGATAGATAGATAGATATTATAATTATATATTCTCGAACTTAATACGTGCATCTGCATAATAATATAGTGTAGGGGGGGGTGTTTTTGTTGTTTTTGTTGTTGTTGTTGTTTTTTGTTTAATGTAAGTGCATGTGTGTGTGTATATGGGTTAGTGTTTGTTTGTGTGTGTTTATAGGTATGTGTGTATGTGTGTGTGTTTCGGGAGACAGACAGACAGACAGACAGACAGACAGACAGACAGAAAGACAGACAGACAGACAGACAGACAGACAGACAGACAGACAGACAGAAAGACAGACAGACAGATAGACAGACAGACAGACAGACAGACAGACAGACAGACAGACAGTGAGAGAAAGAGAGGGCAGGGGTGGAGAGGCAGAGGCCGAGACATAGGCCGAGAAAAAGGAGATAATTGCAATGTTTTATACACATGTTATCTAGCTTCTTTACGTTTCCTGACAGAACTATTTTAAGAATTTTCCTGCTTGTCCGCGAAGTTATTAAGGTAAAGAACGTTCTTGGTGAAGGTATGTTTTCTTGCTTACTCGCTGGGGATGCGCATTCTGGACATTAATTTTGACAACAGGAATCGCTATCTCAAAATTACATAGTTCTATAGGACATGTTTGGCCGTTTTGACTTACTAAGACCACGATGTGAGAAACCAGTAAATATTCTATTTGCTTTATCAACATCGTAAGATTATTCGGAGTCGTCATCAAGTTATTCAAAAGAATTGCATTCGAAATAAACTTGGCGGGTTATTGTGAGACTCAAAAAAATTATTAACAAATTTCTTAAAACTAGTAACGCATAGATTGAGCTTTGTAATCCCGGGGTAGTGACTTGAAGACGTTCTGTTTTCGGGCACTTTAAAAGGGAATCAAAACTTTGTTATTCATACAGCTTTTTTTCAATTCTGTTTTAAAACAGCAAGAGACAACATGCAAACTGAGAAATAAATATGATGTATTAATATAAAATCGTGTTTCTGATGGGTGTATAATGATCGTTTGAAATGTGCCTCAACATTGCTTTCGGCCTACTGCTGATTGGGCATAGTGTAATGTGTTCGTGGCATCTTTAAAGCGTTGAAAAGGGTTTGTTTGTTGAATTCTAATTGAATACTAAAGGGTAGTTTATCTCTTCTTGTTTAATTCTACGTTTCAGCAACCTACCCAACTTTCACAAATCCACCGAATCCCCTACCTACCAGCCATCATATTCACCTTGCTTTAGCTCTGACGTCTTCCTCCCTTTCTTTCTATCCTCTTTCTCAATCCAAACCCTCTTCCCTCCCCCCTCTCTCTCTCTCTCTCTCTCTCGCTCTCTCGCTCTCTCTCGCTCTCTCTCGCTCTCTCTCTGGCTCCCTCGCTCTCTCTCTCGCTCCCTCGCTCTCTCTCTCGCTCCCTCGCTCGCTCCCTCGCTCTCTCTCTCTCTCTCTCTCTTTCTCTCTCTCTCTCTATCTATCTATCTATCTATAAACCGTCCCGATTCACTCCCGGGCTCTCAAAATCGTATTTCTTTTATTTTTCAGCCTTGAACAACAACACCAAAATCGCCTGGAGCTCCCCAGGGACCGCCAGCCAGTATCTGCAAGCAGCAAGACGTGTGGAAATGGTGTGAGTGAAACTACCACGATATAGGTTACTCACCAGCGTGTTTGGTGTAGCGGTGAGGCCCTTTCCAGTCACCATGGGGGGTCGCAAAGACCTCGCGAGCAAAAGACAGCTGTCTATGATTGAGGAGACGGACGATGGAGACACGACGAGAGAACAGAACGATAGGACCAACGTGTACGTACCCTGCATTGGTGATAACAGCAACAACAACAACAAAAGCACCAGCAGCAGCAACAACAGCAGCAACAGCAGCAGCAACAGCAGATGCAACAGCAGCAATATTGAAAAGAGCGGTACTGCCCAGAAAAAGAACACAGATGACGAAAATAACGAAGCTACGGCCGACTCAAAGATGAAGTTAGTCAAGAATAAGGACGGTGCCGACGCGTTTGATGAAGAGTCGAAAGTAAACGAGAAGACGAAATCCGGACTTCAAATCAACGAAACATGTCAAGCGTTGTTGCCAAATGTGCACATCGCTGAAAAACACATCCCGTCTCTGTCCTTGATACGTCACGTTAGCGTCCTGCCCACAGTCTCCGAGTGTTGGGAGGGGCACAAAGAAGACTCGAACTGCAACCTTCTGGAGGTGTCGGATCTGACTAGCGATTTAAACCATTATAATACCATTGAGGACTGCCCACGCTTTTGCTGGGGCCAAAATGTAGCGTATGAGACTGAAGTGACGAGCTTTCGAGGTGAAGAACCGGTTATGAATGCAAAAGTAACCGATACTTTAACGTCAGATAATGGTAACTGTTTGGAGATAAACCCAGTTTGTGAACGCAAGGAAAAGGAAAAAATTGAAGACAAGTTCCAGAATTTGATTCAGTCATTGGAGGATGAAAATTCAGAGGGTTCAAAGAGGCCTTACACCCATCTACAACCGGATGATCTGGTATCAGAACCGGTTCTCACAGCTCTAGCTCAGAGCCGGGTGGAGTGCCAGCCGGAGAAAGTGGATAACATAATTATAGCGTTCAAAGAGAAGTTTGCTCAACCCAATGCCAAGCGCCAACCGGTTCGACAGAAAAGCAGACGCACACTCGAGTTGGAAAAACGGGAAGCTGCTGAGGATGGACACAGTAATTCTGTAGAAAGCTCAGCGTTAACGGCACCAGAGAATATCAGTTCCGCAGAAAAAGGTGTACCCAGTGAAGTTGAAAGTACAAGTCCGGAATTTGCCGAATTTGACAATCCACTAGCAGATAAAGATTTGCTTTTTGTGACTGAGAGACAGGAAGATCCTGCTTCGCGCGTGAAAGAAGAAAAACTTGACGGCCTGTTTAGTGCTGAAGAAAATATTACTGAGGAACTGAACGAATGTTCTGGAGAAATTTTAGATATCGGAGCTCCTATCAATGGAGAAGAAGCGTCGCTTTGTGTGAGGTCAGATTTTTCCTATCAGTCGAATGTTCCGGTTGGAGAAAGTATTGGTGGTTTTCCATTTGAAACGAATGCCGATATTAATGTGGAGAAAGAAACTTCTGGGGAGATTTCCCCATTTGAAGTTTGTTTGCTAGAGGAAGCGGCATCTTTCGACACGTCACAGTGTGGCAGCGAACACACCATATCAGAGTCAGAGGAAAAACACCGCCCTGCTTCCAAAGCAGAACAAGATGTCTTTGGGTTCGAGAATGGCAATTTTGAGAAAAAATCCCATTTGAAAATGTTCTCGGTTGAGGATGAGCCTTTATCTTATGCAAGTTCACAATCTGTCGACAGAATGACCATCCTTGAGGAGGGAAAACTGCTTCCTTCTCAGTCAGGCAATCAAGTCGAATTCGACGATAAATGTCCAGCGAATACGTCCCACATTGAAATTGAGAACGAATGCTCTTACAAATCGCACGTCGAAAACGAAATCAGATCTTCGAATAAAACTTGTTGTGTCGAGTTTGAGAACGAAGGTTCAGATAAAATCCCTATCAAATTCGACAACGGATGGCTTGATAACATGCCTACCGAATTGGAGACCAAATGTTTCGATAAAATTCCTACCGAATTCGACAACAGGTGTTTTGACAGAGACTCTCTTGAATTCAACAATGAATGTTCCGATAAAATCCGTGTCGAATTCGAAGACATGGATTCTCATAACACTCCTCGTGTTTCATTCGATAAGGAATGTAATGGAAAAACTCAAGAAAAACTGGAGATGATAAGTTCTGACACAACATCTGAAGTCAAATCTGAGATGGGACCGTCAAATGAAACTTCACATTTGAGAGTTGAAATGCAGGGCAATGAATTACCCAGGTCGTGCAAGTTACCTTCTGTGAGCGTCCCAATCATTTTGGTGGAAGAGGAAGGATTAGAAGGAGGAGTAGTAGTAGTAGTAGTAGTAGTAGTAGTAGTAGTAGTAGTAGTAGTAGTAGTAGTAGGAGGAGGAGGAGGAGGAGGAGGAGGACTAACTGATCAACAAATAGTATCTGACCATGATATTGACCTAAGTGTTCAAGAGGTCATTGCCCGCTCTCTCCCCGATACCAGGCTGGTAGAAGGAGCAATCACGCCACGCGGAGAGGGAGACAGCTCTCCGATTTTATTCCGAGAGAATTTTTGTCCAGTTGGATCAAAGACTCTTGCATATGGTAGCCCATTATCGCACTCGCTGTTACCCCTACCTTCGTCATCGCTTTTGACGTTGCCCCAATCGCCTTTATCTTCTTTATCACCACAACCACTACAACCACCGTCATCATCATCATCATCGTCACCATCATTATCACCTTCATCGTCGACATCGCTGTTGCAAGTCCCCGTGATCTCGGCTATTTCCACGACCACGAAACTAGGTCAGGGTCAATGTCACGGTCAGGCGAGTCGACCTCCCATGTTACGTCACGTGTCGCAGCCCAATCTGGGCACGCCGGGGGCCGGTTTACCTGGCACGTACAACTACAGCAACAGGTCTGCGGACAACAACAACAACAACAACAACAACAACAGCAACAACAATAACAACAGCGGAGGCAACGGCAGGAGCGGCAACAACAGCGTATCACGGGACAAACCGTCGCAACAACAGCCGCAGCAGCAGCAGCAGCAGCAGCAACAACAACAGCAGCTACAACAACAGCAGCTACAACAACAGCAGCTACAACAGCAACCGCAACAGTCCAGCCCTCGCGACGTCAATTCTGACCTGGCAAAGCTCAAGGTCAGTGCTTTGGGATTTTGTTTTGTTTTTGCCTTTCCACTTCTTTCCTTTGTGTTTATTTGTTTCTTCTTCTTTTATTTCAGAAAAACGCTGAAAAGGGGAGGGGGTGTTAAGAATGTTTTGCTTCGTCATTTTGTACTATATCTAGATTAGGTTTGTGTTTTAGTTATATCAGTTTACGTTTTAGTTTCATCAGCTTATGTTTTAGTTTCACCAGAATTGTAAAATATCATTAAGTTTCCATGCCTCTCGTCTCACAGTACGTCAAGTATTTGGAGTTTGCTCTGTTAGTCTAATAAGATGTCATGACGTATCGTTGTGTGGGTTGGGGGGTTGGGGAGGGGGCATCTATTTAACGTTGCTTTCAATTATTTTGCTTTCGTTTCAATGAACGAAAGCTGTGGGTGTGTTGTTTTAAGTATTGGAGTAATACACTTTAAAACAATAAAACGTAGATGTAACAAACGGCAATGGTTAAATAAGACCTCGTAAAAGAAATTAAAAGTTACGAACCACAATTAAATGTCTGTGTCAAGAAACCTGAAAGCTGCGCACATTCTCAAGGGAAAATGAATCTTTCGAGTGCTCAGAATTTGGCAAACTCTTTTCTGCTCGAATTTTGGTGTCATTGGCCATAGCAGAAGACAAAATTTATCTATATCCGTAATCCTTCTATTTCGCTTTCGGAAATAGATCGCCTCTGCAGATACATTGGTTATTTTCAGATACTGACAGGCGAGTTACACGTACTATTATTATTATTATTATTATTATTATTATTATTATTA